CCCCCCCCCCCCCCCGCCATACATTATGAATGCAGCCTTAGCACTTTATAACAAAACTTTTGTGATTGGTGGCATTTATAGGCCCCATTAAAAGAAACCATGTGTCATTCCCTAGAGTATCATTTCTYTTTTTAACCATTCACTTGAGAAAATACTTGGATATAAATACAACTCAAACCAAAAAATCTTATTCTCAAGAGAATGACACATGGTTTGAAATAGGAAAACAATATACCGAACGTAATAGACTGCTTTCAAGATATGTTTTGCTTGTCACACAAAAGTTTTAGTACAAGGCTACATGTGAAATCAAATTTATTCTTTTCTCCTTTCTCAAATCAGTGAGCRTTATGYACAAAGCCTTGCATTGAAAACTTTTTTGCGTGACAATGCATATTAACTTATTGTGAATTTGTCTTGATCAACATGTGGCAAACAAAACAATAATAAGATATTTTAATTCATCTTATTTCAAGGTGCATCTCCTGTCAAAAAGGACACCGCATTTTGTCCAGGACTAGTCTTTGGTCCTCGCTTAGGCGTCCCTTTGATCGTCAACCCAAGATACCAGCCGGCATTGGCTTTGGATTCATAAGTGTTATAACCAGTGGTCAGATGTTTTTCTTTGAAGACACAGGTGTGGACTAATGAGCTCTAAATAAAAAGAAAAGTAGGTAAGTCAATGAGACTTTGATATGATATCTATCTTACAATCTCTAGAGTCGAGTCATCATTTTGGCCTGGGCTGATTTTTCATAGTTTGAGGTTGATTTGGTCACTATATACATACTTGTGTGTTTTAATTAGAAAGATAATCAAAGAGCTGGCATAAATCCTAGTTTTGTGGTGTACTTTGTTTAACAATGAATTTCCATTTCTACAATTATTTCAAAAACACTTGAAATGTATTATATTGATATGTAAATAATGTCACCATAGAAGAAAATATACCCGTAAAAACGTGCGGACAAAGTTTGAGAAAATTCCATATCACTGCGACTTTCACGGATTTTATAATTTCACATCTCCCATAGTGCATTTTGGGGTTGGTATGCAACATGCAATAAAACATATCCCAAACGTTTAAAAATAGCTGTATATTTCATATGTTCTTTGGAAAATATTTCATAACCAATGTGCTACTGCAACAGAGAAGGAAAAATGTGAATCATCTAGGGTTATTTATGGTTTTAACTTATAATACAAATTAAACCACAATTCTGTTCATTTTTACATTGGTTACCTATAGTGGTTTTAGTCGGTGTTTATAAGAATGTCAGTCATTCATTACTAAGTGTTGATTCAAATTAAAGTTGATAGGTGGTTTACTATAATCAATCCATCATACATTAACCCATGTRTTTGTATCGTTAAAGCTATGGGTTCTTTACTTCACCGTTGTCATATGTGAATATTTTAAGACTGAAATAAGGCTAACCCTGAATAAATCAGTCTGTAATCACGGAACACACAGGTATATTTTACGAAGTCAATAAATCAAAAGACTATTCTTAGGGTACATATTGGCCTTGATTCAAAAGCCATATTTTTTATCACCATCGTTTCTCAAAACCAAGAGATTGTTTTTATTCCAATTAATGTAGGATTCTCTGGGAACCATCACTTGTCCACTTTTTCTGGGCAAACGTGAGTTGAGTTACTTACAGTTGTGATAAGGTTGCCGTCGTTATCCATTGCGATGTACTTCATGGATTTCTCACCAAACAAAACTATCTCTCCAATTGCAACTGAGTGCATTTCGAGTACGACTAAAAAGAGAATGAAAAAATGCAATCGTGTTGGGATTGAAATTGTACTTATTTTGTTCTGCTTGCTATTTTCTTCTTTCTTTCTTTTCTCCATTTCTTTCCTTGCTCTTTCCCGTTTTTCATCTATTTTTCTTTCTGTCTTTAATTTCTCTGCTATTTCTTCCTATTCTCTCTTTTTCTTCTTTTTTGCCTTTTACTTTTTCTAATTTCTAATATCTTTTTTTCAAATTTTTCAGTATATTCTTTTTCCCCCCAGTATTCAGTCCCTTTACGTTCGCAAATTCTTTCCTGTCACATTCTTTCCCAGTATTAGCTTCATTCTTTGTTTTGCTACCCACTCTATATCAGAATGACAAAAAATCACACGATAAATTGATTCCAGAGCCGTCTCTCCGTCTACTGCAAGCCCTTATCTATTTTTTCTCCGATGTTTTGACATTGTCRCTATTATTTAAAATCCTAACTTCACAGACGTTGAATCGCCAAAAACTAATTTTCTTGACCATGTGGTCTATCGTTATCAAACTGTCTTATTCTTGTGGCTTGAACTTGAAAATTTCTTATTATCGATTGAATATTTAATTCATAACAAGTTATTTCGGGAATTGTTCATTAAAAAGCTCACTCTCTCGCCGTAACGCCTTGTTATTAGCCGAAAAAGGGCGTTTTCATTTACGAGTCAGTTAAATGCCAATGCCCATAACATCGTTGAACTGTTTTTTAACTTTTTTCTTACTTTAGACCTGCTATTGACAACTCATACGGTAAAGGGTCAATAAACTGCACCTTCTAAATCGCCAAAACAATTCAATATAACTTCATTGTCCATGGGATTTTGGTTTGTTGAACTTAATCCTATGTACACTTTGATGTTAGTATATTCGGTTTCAATTTTTTAAAATCTATTCTTACAAACTGTTATATTTTTTTAATCAGTGACCAATGAGTGAAACAGCGTTTACGAATTAGGATTTCAAGAGTTCGTTGATATGATAGGTTTCGTCACGCAGAACTCAAAATGAAGGATTAGCCTCTTATTATTAGAAATCATGCTAAGATAGTTGAAAAGAACTCATCGCGACTTGCCATTAAAAATAAGTTAAAAAAAACTCCTTTTTATATTAATTTCATAGGTTATTTTTCTTTTAATTTATTCATGGATTTTAATTTTAGATAGAAACACGGTTGCATTTCAGTGCTCGTTTGGAGTGAAATAAGTTGACTTCCCGAAAGTTCTTCAAAATCAGAAACGTAGCGAGATAAAAAGATACTGCTAAAGCAAACACCGAGGCAGAAAAACTTCAAAAACTCCACGAGTAACGTTTAAGAAGCAAAAGGAAAACTGAGGATTGAAAAAATATATTTGCCATCCGCGTTTATTAGCTATATTCTTCATCAAACACACACTCCAAAACACGCTAAGAATTGCATATTTCTAGCTATTTTCAAAAAAAGGAAAAAGCAACAAAAGTTAAACAAAAGTATGAACTCACTATTTTCATCTTGAATGTCAGTCACACCATCAATCGCGTCGTCATTAACTCGAAGATAAAATCCATTCGAACATATCAGTATTGTTCTTCTTGAAGGGTTAGGAGTTATGCTAGCCATTTTACCAAACAGATCTACAGATGTGGGCAAGCTAATCATTCTATATATACAATGTAATTGACAATGGAAATATTTGGAATTTATACTATAATTACATGGGCGTGTTTTATGGACACTATATGGTTGAGGGCATATGAATTATTCTGGTTATGTCTGGAGCGTGGGAAGAAAAGTTGTTGGAACTATATTGGCTTTTACAAAACGGTTTCTTAATAAATGCGGAAACTAAAATAACATTTTTAAATTGTCAGATTTCTCTTTTTCCTTCTTTAAATGTCCTTTAATTTGGATAAAAGTGGGAGCACCACCTTGAGTAACCGCAATGCATAAAATTCATTTTCAAAATGACAGTTTTTGAAATGCTTTTACCGTAATAAAAACGAAATTGTTTGATTAGGAAGTCACGAAAGAACGTCACGCACGCCTCAAATACCTTGCCGGATAACGCGTGACCACCAATCATTAGTATCCTATCTTCAAAAGCCTGTCTGTAACTTACGAACTGCATTCCGGATATTTCCTCTTACAAGGCGTATGCCAATATAATTTGTGGTTATAAGGTATCAATAGGATTTATATATATGAGTCAAATTGAAAGAAATTCTTACAATAGTTTGAATACCAGAATACGATGTTTTATTCCTGCAGGTGTCGCGGTCAGATCCAAGAAGAGCAGAATTTGATTGCCGGACTCCGTTTTAGACTGTTTATTTATTTATTTATTTTTTTTAAACTGTTTTGTCGGAATATTTTAACGCTCCTGCTCATTCTCTTCTGCGTTGACTGGAATGTGAAATGTTTCGGTTTCTGTTAAGTTGGCGAGTTTTTCACTTTCCAGTAACATCAGACCTTTTCCATTTTGATAACCAAGATAATGTTATCTTTGGCTTCTAGCTTATAAATTATATAAAGGCAGGAAACAGTTCTTCCTTGATTTGCTGATCGTTTGTAAGTCAGTAAGTAAGTAAGTAAACTCTTTATTTACTGGGGTAGTACTAAATAGCAATATGCTAACAAACCAGTGGCCCTCAAAAACGTTACCATAAGTGGGTAAGGCAGAGGGGGCTTTAGCCTCTAACCATGCACCGTAAAATATGTGAACAGGCTCACGTAATTATGCAGTTGGTATGTTACAGACTTTTGAAGATCAGAATGCTAGTGGCCACGCGTTATCCGGCTGCCAGGTGCATATCGGGAGTAGCAAGACGTAGTCCAGCTGCTGGTTGAGGCGTGCGTCACGTTTTCATCTTGCGTGACGTTCTCCTCTAGATCTCCTTTTCCACTTTCAGGGGATTTTTGAAAATCTCTCTAAATTAAAAATTCGTATACTAAAAATCAGGATACATCTTACAGCAAAATTACAGTCGAGTCCATATTATGTTTTCATTTCAGGGAGCATTCATTTTTTAGGAGGGAAGGGGGATGGGGTATGGCCGGAAGAATCCCTATAAACAGTAATATAAAATTTTTAGACCCTCCCATTGTTCTGTCTGCATTAAAAATTGACCTTCACCTTGAAATTTATTGAATTTTTTCCCCTCCCCATTGTGTAGTATGAAATATTTGATGACCCACTTTTTGGACTGAGTAGAAAATTAATGACAATCCCCTGGATTCCTTCGGCTCAACCCCCCTCCTAAAGGATGAATGCTCCCTTAAAGAGTTATATAATTTGCATGTTCCCATATAATTTCAGATACAAGATTTAACACACACTATTAAATATGAAGCYAATCCTACAAAATGTAGGCGGTATTCAACTGTTTCTTCCCATCAGGAATTGCGGCTAATCAGAATGTAGAACAAACCTCTGAAAGTTCTTGTGTATTAGCCGTTCCGAGGWTGAGAAAAAAACTGGGTCGAGTTGGCATCGCAGTGCAYTGTGGRGCTGTTTTAGAGTAYGAAATATAATAATAGAAATATGTCCCCTAAAACAGCCCCACAATGCACTGCAATGTCAACTCGACCCAGTTTTTTTCTCAACCTCGGAATGTCTAATACTAGAAGATCGAGCTTGAGTGYAATATCCCATGGTCAGTGCCTCTAACATTTTATAACTCGGAACAAACCGCTTTCTTTATGCATAACGTATTGAGTTATAAACTGTTCGCGAGTAAGTTGAAAGATAGAAGTACAAGAACTAGATTCTAGAAGCTTCCCCTCCCCTCCTAAAGTCGTTCCGCCGCCTACGCAGTTTTTAACATTAAAGAAAAAGAACGCGGAGTTTAAAAATTTAGTTTTCTAAATTTATCATCTCCAGTCTTTAATTTTTGACGCACATATTCTACCACAAGGAGTTATTTTCTCGTTTTTAATGACAACTTCCTCGGCATGGTTTTTCAAGTCATGTTGTCCCAATATTTTCTTTCTGAGAACACAAGTATCTTGAGATTAAGTTCAGCCTACGGAAAGTAATGAATTGTACCGCAAGGAGTTATTTTTTCGTTTTTAATGACAACTTCCTCGGCATGGTTTTTCAAGTCATGTTGTCCCAATATTTTCTTTCTGAGAACACAAATATTTTGAGATTAAGTTATGCCACAGAAAGTAATGAATTGTACGATTGGTTATTATCAACTTAACGTCGGATCGTGTTAAATCTGCTTCTGTTAATTGATYGTACATGGACCCCAGGACTGCTGTGATTTCATTTACCTCCAGGAGGTTTTATCACTCTAATCGTTTGTTATAAAGTACTAAATCCTGCGTATAAGAACCTAATATTTAAAAACCTGTTAGGCTAAGGTTTTCCATCTAGACCCCCTCTACGAACTAAGAAACTGTTTAAGGCTAAAATCTCAAAGCAGGTTCTTATTTTATCAAATGAATCAAAACTAAAAATTTAAAAATCAAAGAAAATGARCTCTACAAAGTAAATTACATAAAGCGTAGCTTTAAAGTATATATTTGCTTAGATTGCAGTCATTTGGGAAAAATATCTGCAATATTTTACTTGAAATARTAGACCACACCTAACAAAAACGATTCGCATTTTTCTTCAGAAAATAAGAACCGGATTAAGAAGCCTAAATAGCCTTATCTTACGGTAAACACCATTTATATAATAACCTCTTTAGGCTAACTTGGAAAAATCTAGGTTCTTGTAGGGGTGTTTTACTTTAAACGAAAAACGTCGAAAGCTGTTTTCTATCACTCAATCTCGCCCCAGCGATCTATGTCCTCCAAAAGCAATTAGGAAAGAGARTTAATGTGTAATAGCGAAAGCTTTTAACGATTTTAATGGCATCGATAGCGCAAATCAACTGGAAAAACAAGTGCTGATAATTCAGAAATTTGCCATTAAGATTGAAGATCGACGTTGAGTCTGTTCGTCTTTTATAGCGCCGACAACAGTCCCTTTTTTTCATATCTTATCCAAAGAAATTATAAGGAAGTTAACAAAGACAAAACAGGTTTAGGTAACATCAAAGTATAGTAGCCCGCAGTCATAATAAAATAATGAGGAGAAAATCGAGTAATTGTGGATGAGTTGGTGAGGACTCAATTTTTTTTCTTTTAAATTAAACTTTTATTTGAAATTTGAATTTCATAACTCCACGAGTAGCACTGTCGTCTCATAAGTGAAAATGTAATTCCTGTGTGAACTGAGTCATCGAAGGAATCGAGAAGACTGAGAGAGTTCCTCTAGCATGAAACGACTCGGATTATCTCTACTACTCTCCCTCCTTCCTTCCTCTGGATGGGACGCTAATCCATTGCAGTCCCCCATCCCCTCTCTCCCTCCCTCCCTCCCTCCCTCCTTCCTCTGGATGAGACGCTAAGCCATTGCAGTCCTCCATCCCCTCCCTCCCTCCCTCCTTCCTCTGGATAGAAAGCTGGTCCATTGCAGTTTTCTTCTTGCGTTTTACATTTCGGTATTAATWCACAGCGGCGAAATTTATTTCGAACTTTAAAAGAGGAATGACATTCATGGCGTAACGCATCATTAGCTTGACGACCTAGTATCGTGAGTCGCWTTCAATTCAACCAATAACAGACGCTCATCTTTTCCCGCGTCAAAACGATATAAATGACACTCGCTTTGTTGTTGAGAGAGGGGTGGGACAAACTTGTTTACCTGTAGACTCGAACAGGGGCGGCGGAACCGGGGGGCCGGGGGGGCACGTGCCCCCCACCAAATTTTTTTGGGGGGCCTAGCCCCCCAATAAATATTGAWCCTTAGTCATTGTTTTACGGCGCATGCGTCTACAATCAAACAAAACATTGTCATTAACACATAGCGTTAAATATAATCTTCAGTGCCCCCCAAAAKATTTTTGCAGTGCCCCCCAAAGATTTTTAGCTTCCGCCGCCCCTGTCGAAGGATATTTTTAAATTATCTTTAAGTAAATATCTTCAGCTACGACTCATTTTTTTCAGTGCCATACGCTTTGAAAACCCACGTTTTAGATGAAGATCTTACAAGCTCTCACAATACCTCGCGATCAAGATAACATTTTTTGCTTCCTAAAAGATTCTTATAGTATATACTCACTTGTCATGCTGGCAGTCAAACTCCTACATTACTATCACTTGAAATTATCTTAGATCTCCTTCGTTTCCTGGTTCCTGGGATCGCTATTTTAGATCTATCTGCTATCACTGAATTTCGTATTTTTCTCGACGTTTCGTATATTGGAGAAAAATAAGCTAAGGCTAAAGACATTATTGCCACCCTCTATTAACTATGTTGCCACTAAGTGAAAACTTAAAAAATATTTGCATGATTTGTGTCCTTTATATAATTATTTCGTTGGTGAATGATCAATTGTTTTTGTTGCTGTTGCTCTTCTTGTTGTAAGTTTGTTTTTCAGAGAATAATAACACGTTTTTTTTCATCGTTAGTGTCATAAAAGTGTTACATGCGCATGATAATAACAAGCTAAATACGAGAACAGTGTCATAAAAAAGTAAAAACAGACCGAAAAATTGACTAGAATATTAATGAAAATCCCCTGCTTTTTCAACCATACGATTCCTCATGCACTGGCAATACCAAGAATATTAGCCTCTATTTTTTCATTTCACGTGGCATAGAATTAAGACCCCTTTGTGGAAAGAAAAAATAATCYCTCACTGGCAAGCAGACAGAAGAATGATTAGAAGCTGAATAAAAAAAAATTCGGCCAGCTTCTTCAAGAAACCATACGGTGCCTCATGCAATACAAGAAAAAAAGGCGATATTTTCTCATTTCGTGTGACATAGAATTAAGACCTCCTTGTGGAAAGAGAAAAATTTTCTATACTTAATTAACCAGAATTTAGATTATTCTAATGTTCKTGTTTCTTTTTAAAACGGGCCTAGCATCTTCCTTTCGCTAAGCTGATTATATATCTGCTATTCATCTGTTCTGCTTTTACTAATGACGTAAAGCGAACTAGAATTGTCTTAATAAGATAAAAAACAAAAGGCTTTAATAAAACTTAAATGATGCCCATCACTTGCATTAAGTCAAATATCCTCCCTAGAGGTAGGAGTTAATATTCGTTCATCTTCGCGTTGGTTTTGGTTATTTTGATTTTAGTTTTATTGGTGTTAATGCTGTGTAATAAGAGGGATATACCCACAAACTTCCTCTAAGGGTCTCGTTAATGTTTCAACGTTTTCCTGCTTGGAACATTGCCTTGATGGCTAGCTTGTCCTTTATCGAAGTCAGAAGTTCAAACATAAAATAAACCTCTTAAAAATGGGTGTGGGGCTTGTTATTTTAAACCACCGGTCATTTGGTTGAGTATTATTACTTTCCCAAATATTCTTATTCTTTTCCTCTAAGGGTCTCGTTAATGTTTGATCGTCTTCCTGCTGGGAAACACTGCATCGATGGCTAGCTTGTCCTTTTTTGAAGTCAGAAGTTCAAACATAGAAKAAACCTTTTAAAAATTGCTTGCTATTTGAATCCACCAGTCATTCCATTGAGTAACAGGGGCAGATCCAGGGGAGGGATGTAGGGGGTGCGCACCCCTCCCTGGTTCTTCTTTGTGCCCCTACTTCGAAGATAGCCAATACTGTTTTTTCCCTTTGATTCTAAGGGGTGCACCCCTCCCTGGGTTAACTTTGTGCGCAGCACCCCTCCCTGAACAAAATCCTGGATCCGTCTCTGAGTAAAATTACCTTTTCAATATTATTCCCAAAAGAGTTCGAATTTGGCAATAATTACGCGCAAATCAAAATTGGTTACTACATATATTTTGCGCCGAAAACAAAAAAAAAAAACTAATTTCGACACTATTGACTTAGCAATGGCTAAAGAAATTTAAGTTACAAAATTGCAAATAAGTAAATGTCTTTTGTATTTTAGATTTGATGACTATTTTTGGCGATGAACCCTCTACACAACATCAGGGCTGTAAGTTAATAAGAAATTAACATATCTTTAGATTTCTTTCTTTCTTTCTTCTTTAAWTAATCTTTCCTAGAGAGTGCCTTCTCTGTCACTCTAAAACACAGGCTTACTTAAGCTTTGCTCCATAAAGAGAAACAATTGATCCAAAAGAGGTATTGACGTCAAGAAAGGACTCGTTAACGACGAGTAGAATAGAGTATTTCGATGGACGGACGCAAAAACACCTTGCGCAAGCTGTATTAAATGGCTGACTACGTAAGAACACGCGTCACAACACGCGTCAGAACCGTCGCGCATGCGCACTAAAGTACGTGCGTCATTATTCGTTATGACCCAGCAATCAGTTACCACAAGGCTTGAAGTCACTAGAGTGCATATTTATTTAGTTAAATATCTTGTCTCGAGTATTTGCGCGCGCTATGATTCGAGTAAAATTCCGCTGGACGACATGACAGAGGGCGGCAAAAAAGCGCTGCATGAGCAAAACCGAAGCGCAGTCCGACCGGATCGATCGACTAATACTTCTCCAATTGACCATTACCGGACATTTCAAAGTGCGTGTCACACGTGAGAGATTGAGCACTTCTCTCCGTCTCCAGTAGCACCAATGGCAATTAATTTCCTGAACGCAGCGATATCATTTGGAAAAGGAAATTTAATAAGGCTTTATTAGCTTCATTTTGTTCACTCTTTTAACCAGMTCAGCATTTAGCCCAAGTCGCTAAACTCGTTATAATACAACTCCAGTTCCTAGAATATCACTTCCATTATCCTGTCTTTGATCGTGACTAATCATCTTTATTGTTTTTAATTAAAAAAGATAAATTTCTGATAAATTGAGTTGTTTTTTATTAAGATATCATTTAGTTCCTGAAATTTCAGTTTTATATCCTGTCATTCCGCCTCTCAACTTGTTTGTTTGTTGTTTTTATAAGTGTGTTTGAAAACGAAAAAGCAATAATTCAGTTGCTAAAGCAAAATTGAAATTTAAGATAAGGATCTCGTTTTTACCAAACAAACACACACAAAAATAAAGGTGCAGCGAGCTTGATTGCTTTTAAGCCTAAAAAAGTTTCGAAAGACGAACGGCGACAAGGTAGACAGATTTAAGATAATTTATCATTGACATTGTGATGAGAGAAAGAGATAAGAGATCTTTGTTCCAAAGTGATATTGGTATTTCGTTTTAGATGGCGTTTCTAGAACACTTAGAAGATATTATTCATGTAAATGGCTATCCTGTAAAACAGTTATTTTACAGACACTGAAATGACTGCAATATGAATGATCGTTACAATACTTTTAAACTATAAATTTTAATTCGACATTTAAATTATATGTTATACGAAAGAAAACTACTCAAAATGAAGAAAGAAAAACACTTGATTTATTGATGTAGTTTTTATGCCACGTTTACCAATACTCAAACGATAACTTTTACTTTGAAATTACTTTATAACACGTACATGCTAAAGAAACTACTTGAAAAAAAAGCCCCCAAACTTCTATTTGGCGCGAAAGTCTATTCGTTTCGTTTTTTAAGGCCCTTCCAGACTTTTCAAATAACTATTAAGATTATCTGCTTAAATCTTTTCTTAGCAAAGTGAAGTTAGTAATTATTTTTTAAATCTTTTACCTCAAATTTCATTCTGCAGTTAAACCTCTAAATGAATAATAGCAAAGATATTTATCTTAAATTTTTTACATTGGCATAAGATTATTAGGTGTTATTTACCTATTCAAACAGTAGAATAAATAATGACTTCCTGTAGTTTCTYCTCTCTGATGAAGGTTTTTTTTTCACTCAATCCAAAAAAATGGCAAGGTTCTAGAAATTTCCAAGCTACGACAGTTTTTCTCCCGCAAGACTAAGCAGTTCTGAATGTGAATGCTCTGTGAAATATTAGTGTTATCTTGACTGGTGATATAGTAGTCTGTGTCCAARTATCTCACACCTTCTATGGACGTATTTTGTTTTTCCGTTGTTGTTAGCAGTATGCTAATCTTGATTTTTGCCGTTTAAGAGTAAGATCTACTTTCGCCACGACACGAACAGTGTGTTCAGACAAACAGGAACGCCAGCTCGAGTCGTGATGTGATATCATCAACTATYATTGTTCGGGAGGTCGATTAGGTCAATATTAACATAAAAGCACTCCAAGAGTTTGTCTTTTCGCGTCGGTGCCGTACAATATCAACCTTCGGGCATTCGATAGTCGCTTCAGTATTGACATTTCAAAGCTAAATATCTAAAGAAACGATTGACAATTCTAAAAATACAATCAGTAATCAAACGTCGGTGAGGTTTTTTTTCGGACTTGTTCCGATTGTTTTCTCCAAAACACCACTGTCTTTAACAAAACTTTTAATTTGTYATAATGATAGTGGTTTGCTTCAGGCATCAACTCTGTTCGACATCTCCAATCATTTKTCTTTAACACGAGATATTTTCTCACTCAAGTTTAGCCCAATYATTCTCTCAATGTTTTCAATGATGCTTCATCGAGCGTATAACATTTTAAAAACCATTTTCGCTTCGTATTTTCCATTGTCACAAGCGACAGAACAGCCGTGCATATTAAGTGTAGATCCGACCTCGGTATGTTTGTTGACAAAACAGTTTTTTTAATTCTTTTGTGATGGGAAAGAATTTAGACAAAAACTTCTTTCWTTTTTCCCATCTCGTCTATCTCTTTAGGTCGTAGCGCTATAGTTTCACTCAACTCGTAGCTACCTTCGTTTCGTTTCTTCAATCGATATACCAAAAACGCTACCAGTAACACTGAAAACAACGCTCCAGCTAATAAGGCAATTAATATTTCCACAGTCACAAAACCAAATAGAGTTTTCCGGCTCGCTTTTTTCTCTGGGTCATCCTCTTGCCCTTCAACAGCTTCAACACCAGGACTACCTTTTGTAACACTAGCCTCGGTGATGGGTATTACAGTCTGATTTGTATTATTATTACCATGGTTAGTAGAGTTTGGACTTGCGGTAGTCGAGGTTTCGGTCGGTTTTGGCGTCAATGTGGTCGTTGTTACAGTAGTTGTGGTCGTTGGAGCACTAGAATTGACCATTGGAGCACTAGCTGTGGTCGTGGAAGCACTAGTTGTAGCCATAGTAGTTGTAGCCAGAGTAGTCGCTTCGATTTCTGTAACTTTGGGAGGAAGCGTCGTAAGGTTATTTCTTGTCTCCTTCGTGCTCGGAGACAGTGTTGACAGTGTTGTAGCATTTTGGGATTTTCCTGTAGTAACTGTARCTTTAATTCCTGTCGTTGTCGCCGGGTTTGTAGTTYGAGGAACTGCTGTAGTTGTGTCGATGTTTGTTGTCTTTGAGATGATATCACGAGCAGTGCTCGGGGACGGAGTTGAAGCATTAATTCGACCCGAAGTTGGTAGGACTGTCGATGATTTCGAATCGACCGGTTTTGTAGTAGTACTATTGCTACTAGAGCTTCGGGATAGTAATCCGCTAGATTCTGAAGACGACTGATTCGAAGGAGACATTGGATCATCGTTTGCTACCATATCGTATGACTCACTATACGTCTCTGAATCCCCCGAACTCAATTCCCTTGAATCTTCATCGTCATCTTGGTATCTCTTCTCACCTCCAGCACTTTCAGACGAAGTTTTGTGTCCCTCTGTCGGTTCGTACTCGGCTACAACACGCTCCTTTACGACTCCGTTTTCATCAACTGTTTTGATTTCGACAAGTCTTCGTATTTTAGGGCCGCTTCTTGGCTTTGGTTCAGCACTGTTGATCATAAACAACACAAGGGCCAGGACAACCAAACCAAAGTTTGATATTCTTTGACTTTGAACCATTTTGAGTGTTCTGGCTTTGTAAACTTGGGTTTTGAAACAGCCTAGTCCTTTCCACAGAAAATTTGAGAGAGCATAATATCTTTCGCTCTGTCTATTTGATACTCTATCAAGAAGGAATAGGAACCAACGTAACTAATAATAATTCCCGGTCACTTGATGAAAGGTTTATCGACCTCCTATAGACAGACTAGATCTTCTACGACGAAAACGATTTGACCAAGCTCAAAGTTAAAAACCCGAATGGAAGTTTGACACACTACAAATAGAATACACCACTGGAGTGTCATGTGTCGTCCACTACGGTACAACGTATCCGGTTTTGTAAGAGGAGGAGCCTAGCGAAGACAATAAATTTCACTTTCTAATGTCGATTCAGGCCGCAAATATCCGAATTTAATGAGTCACGGAGAAAAACAGTCGTCCGTGATCCAACTGTTGTCTCGCTAGATGATTTATAACACCCAAGGACTATTCAACAAGCACTCAACAAAATGAGCTACCAGTCTAGGAACCCGTAATGCGTAGCCAGCGAGAAAAATTCATTAATTTTTCACCAAGCCGGTACCGTTTGTCGCCGAGAAAAACCTCATTTCCACTCTGAKAAATTTAAATATTTATGACGAAATGGTGTTATTTTAAATTATTTCTGAACTCTTGCTGTTCGCTTGACGAATAAATCTAAGTAGTCATCGTCGCTACCATTTCAGCACATGGCTACACTACGGACTTGACTCAAAAATCACCTCTTTATCACACACAGGCAAGAGCCACCTGTTTTAACTTTTTCTTCTAACACGTGGCCTAACACTAGAGAATTCATTGTCGCTCAAATATTATAAAAGCTGCTCTTCTTCGATACCCAAACAATCTATTTCCAGATCTTTTTGTCCTAATTTAGTCAACATTGTCGGCGAATTCTGTTCGGGTGATTAGTTTTTTATTCCAGAGAATCGAACGAACGAAAAGCATTTTATCATGATTGAATTTTTTTAGATTAAACACCTRAAGTGAAAATTTAAGCCAAACGCTTAACTAAAACAGAACATCTTTCATACATTTATCTCTTTTTTTTCTTATTAGAAATTTCAAAAACTGTATTAAAGAACTTGAATAATATTATAATTTTTTATGACTAGGTATTTCGTATAGATCAAAACGCAATTTTCAATTTTCAAAAATCTAGACTATCTAATCTGGGTCTCAGATCTCAGACACAATTTCCCCAGATCGGCCGAATTTGGATGTATATCATGTTTTCAATTTCGTTTCAGTTGTAAAAGAAAGCTTGCTTTTACGAGGATGAGATTGGATAAATAATAGATACTGTGGTGGTGTTTTTGCCGTCGGCGATCGATTAGATCCTGRGTCACAGTCGTCTGAGTATATCTATAATGGCCGCGGGCTGAAAAAGAGACTGATTACAAGTAAAYTGAGCAAAAAGTTAAACTAGTTGGGGAAACTGATGGGGAAAATCCCATTTCATATTTTACATATTTATTATTTTTATCAAAAAAATTCACAAATATGGGTGGTCTACAAAACTGTTCCCAAGACAACGGGAAAAACCAACCACAGCTGTGCAAAGCATTATGGGTCATCCAGGGGGCAAATATACAAAGCTTTGTTACGATAATGAACTAGATTGACATTTACGGTTCACAACAAGACAATTTGACAAGAGATGGATTAAAATAAATGGACTAATCCAGAATTGAGGAAATTTCTCAAATATTGCTAGGTCGTCATTCCAGCATCCTTGTTTTGTTTTGCCCGCTGAGCGACCCATAATGCCTTGCGATTCAAGATGGCCGCCGCATCGTCGAAGTGGTTCATTGAAGACACACAACAGACCTTTCACGAATTCGATTGACTGACCACGATTGTCGAGGTTGAACTTGATGCTTGCCCTCCTGGTCGCGCTGCTTTGGGGCCGTTGATGCAACGGGTCCACGTGGTATGTTTAGATCATAAGTAAGTTAATTAGATGTATCAAGTTATAAAACTCGTTGAATGTTCATAATAAATCGTTGGACTGAATATGCAAAAATCAGAGGATAATTATGTCATAATTTTACACTCCTAATAACACTCCTTCCATCTGAAGAGACTTTAACGACATACGCAACCAGTTCCTGTACCGATTTTCAGTGAATACCAGGAAACAATAATTTAGCACAACTTTTTTGCTGCCTATAATCATTAGAACTAAGACCTCGGTAAACTGAACGTTGCGAGAAATATCAGTAAGTCTGTCTTCCTTTAGATACATTTTTGTTATCTACTCCACACAGAGGTTTTTTTTTCATATTTGACGAGGTTATTTTAAATAAAAAAAATTCATGGAATGATTCCCTTTAAATTGGCTGAATATTCGCTCAAAGTCTCAGTTGTAGTTCCAAGAATAAAAACGAGGGGGAAAAATACATAAATGAATAAAGTGATAGAGCAACTGGTCAAAATTGTGAGTCGGTTTTCTTCAATATTTTCTAAGGCCTTATCCTTCGTGGCCCTAAAACATAAATCCCATAACGGCATCATGTTTATTAAGTTTGTTTGATGCATTCTCGATATGAGATATTAAGTTATATCTTACCACTCATAAACATCACTCTCTTTAATATGAATATTTATCTATATTTGCCTGACAAATGAAGTTATATTATGCGGTCTGAGATAAAACATTAGACATTTTTCCCCTCCCAAGGTTCCCCACCAGAACACTAAAAGCGACTGTCAAAATATCAACCAAGAGGTCTATTTGTATAATTTCCCAGCACRTGACATATATCTAATTTCCAAATTGAAACTAAAACTAATACCTTAGCGCTGCTCTTAAGTAGACCCATCGCAAAGAGCACTGAAAAACATCTGCTTCGTAAGATAATGTAAATAATGTAAAAAACTAAGCTTTCGATTATTGATCTAAAGAATTTAAAGATAATACAAATAGAAGCGGCAGTCTATAATAAATAAGACAGTTCGCGAACACTGATTAACAAATATAAGTTACTCAAAAGCACACTCAAATGTAAAGTAAAAAAAAACTTGGGATAAAATATTGTAATTGCCGACTTTAGAGGTTCAAGGTGTGATTTTCTGGTTCACTTTTCCCTGATAAGTGACATTAAGTATTCACATGTGTAAGCCTGGATATTATTTTACTCTCAATGAATTTTTTCTTTCGTTTAAATGATCGTGCTTTCTTTATCTATTACAGTACTGACTCTCATTTTCCTGACGTCTGTCTTATAGCCTCAAGCCGTCACAAATTATCTTCACTTCGAATTTTTCACTGTCCTGTCCTGTCCTCTCTTCGCCTCTCTTCTCTCTTCTCCCTTCTCCGTTTCGGGGAGTTTTCGATTTCTATGTCCATTCTACATTTTTCTTACATTTTATCAATTTATTTTTTGTTTCATTCCATTTTTCTGCCATTCATCTTCACTAGACTTACTTGAGTCATGTGTAACAATTCTCCTTACTCTCCCCACCCTTTGCCCATCTCTTGTCCTCTCGGCATTTTTTGGACTCTTATCTTAATGAGCTTGTTTTTGTTGTTGTTTTTTTTTCAATCGAAATAACACCTTTTTCCTGGCGTTTCTTGTCACTACGGCTTCCATATGAAAAAATATTATCTCTTTCCTTTTCCTAATTCTCCGCCCTCTTCCTTAGTAAGCTTTGATCTTGATGACTCTGTTTTCATCGGTTATCACTTCCTGTTCTGATCTCTAACTCACTTTAATCTTCCCTTTTAAAGTTGTTTTCCCATCTCGGGTTTCGATTTTCGATTCTCCGCATGGTTCGATTGGATTCTCTGGTGAGTTACAACCATGCTCTGACTTAGATTGGCCCAGACTTTGTCCCAATCACGCTGATTTATCCTTCGGATCGGCACCAATGTCGGGATACTTTATCTTGCGAGTATACGTCCCATTAAAACAAATTGAACCAGAAAATGAAATCTGCATGCATATTATGCTTACTCTAATCTTCATCATAGCATCATGCACTATTACCATCATAACTATCATCATCATCATCACTGTCATCATTCTCATCAACATGTATCATAATGTAACCGGCGGCAAGGCGCTCAGCTATGAATCAGATTGCAAGTGGTTTTGACAAAAGAATTTATTGAAAAATTCACACAACTTTACAATACA